ATCACTTCCCTCAATCTGTCCACACAGGCCAGCAAACAGCTGTCTGGTAATAACATCTTTCAGTCACTAGCAAGGTGGGCTGGATTAGAACCGGTGACCTAGAGGTGAAAATATCCACATCCCATCCCTAGCCACCCAGTCTCCAATCCATCCACCCCTCTTCCTTCCACACTGGGGACTGGGACCCAGAAAGCGACGTTCAGGAATCAGAGCAGGCCTGTCATTTTACAAGATGGGTGGCAGGGGAGCCAACAGAAAGAGTGGATGGGAATATCTAAGAACATGGGAAATTTCTCCTTACCATGTCACTAGTCTTTGGGCTTACTGATTTGTGCAACCAGCATTAGTCAAACTGGGAACGTAATAAACAAAATGTAGTTTACTGTAAATGATTTATGGGGTTTGTTCATTTCCTGAATTCCTTGGGCAAACAACATCCCCCCTCCAGGCCTGTCTCCCCTCCCACCATTTGTCTATCTTGTCCATTTAGATTGTAAACTCTTCAAACCAGGGCCTGGCTCTCACTGCACGTGTGTGTACAACACCTAGCACGCTGGGGCCCTGACCTCAGGGAAGGCCTGTAGGCACGTCTAGAATACAAACGATAACTAATAGACGCTTGCCCTCCGCCTCCCGGGTGCTAACTTAGCCCAGTGCCGCAATGTCTGAGTTGCAAAGACTGCAGGGGAAAGTTTACAGCTAACCAAGCCGTTTTCATTGAAATGGAGGGACAATTAAACAAGAACTGTTCTGTTCGCCTTCTGCTTTGGAAAAATCTTCTCGCTGCCCCTTCCCCACGCGCAAACATCTACATTATGGAACGAACTCCCACAAGCAGCCGGATATGCAGGGGCAAACCCCAGAACCCTTCCATAGCTGGATGCAAGGACTGGACCTAGCTAAGGGCATTCTTGCATTTTCCATTTGTGCTCCCTACCACACGTTCTCAGTCCTTCCTGAGTCAGACCTCCCAATGGGAACTCTGCCTAGCAAGGCACGAGTAAAACCTGGTAGTTACTGATCGATCAATTCAACCTCAACTGCTGCTGTGATTTGATCACTGTATCGTTCCGTGCTCTGCGCGTTTCGGGAAATTATATTCATTTATAGCCAGTGATGTGTTTGTTTAGGTTGTATTTGCTTGTACATTTCCTTAATGAAATCCATAAAAAGGACACCACAGTGGTTTCTCTCTTAAGACAGCAACAAGGCTAAACAACCCCCAGGCCACAGAGGAGCCCCTGGACTCTTCCCTGGATTAACAGCTCATTACGCTTGCACTTTCCAGTACTCAGTGCATGGAAAGCCCTCACCTAAACCAACAGGGAGAGGGGCACTGCCTCCAAGCTCCCTGGAATTCCCTGCACGTCTATGATTCGATGTCCCGCCTAGCTCTGGCGGGTGACCAGCAAGTAGGGTGACCAGACAGCAAGTATGAAAAATCAGGACAGGGGGTGGGGGTAATTTGCACCTACATAAGAAAAAGCCCCAAATATCGGGACAGTCCCTATAAAATCGGGACATCTGGTCACCCTACCAGCAAGGCAATGGCCACTCTCTGCAGCACTGTCCCTTGTTAAACCCGCAGACGCACAACCAGCGTTAACTCCCTCTGGGCTCCGTCCACGGATGCTGCGGTGTCAAGAGCCCAGGAAATTGCAGCACGACTTCTGCTGGAAAGGGCCCACACCCACAGAGAGCAGCAAGCATCTGGATCGGGACTCTGCAGACCCAACGGAAGCTTTGGTCCCCTGCTAACCGTCCCCTGGAAGGGGAGGCTTGGCAGAAACGCCTCTGATGCGCCTCTGACCCCAGCAGCATCAGTTCTTCAGCACCCCAAGGGTTTTAAGCGGGGTGTTGTCCCTTTAAAGCGTGATCAGCAACACGACTGTGAAACGAACAAACCCCCCAGATCCCAAACCAAAGCGAGACTCGCTTCCTGCCTGCTGGCTCGGCCCCACATGCAAGGACCAGCTGCCCCCCGCCCCCGCCTAATGCAGGCCTAGCAAGATACGTTCTGAGACCAGACCCCAGAGGGCATCATCGCAGCCTGTGATGCGCGAGGCAGAATGCAGCCCGGCCTGCATGGTGTCAATAATCGAAACAGGCCTGATTCGTGAGCAGCAGAGACAAGAAACCGGATATTTGCCAGTGCATCTCAGACCATTGGCGGCGTCACCTCCAGCCATATCCAATGCCACGCTGCCTGCCCGACTTCAAACCCCACCACAGAGCTGCAGTGGAACGTTACCAGCTGGTCTTAGGAGAGAGCAGCAAAGGAAGGAAGGAACAGAGAAGGAAATGGATGAGGATGGGGGAGAAGAACCGACATGAAAATGGAGCAGAGAAGGAAACAGAGAAGGCCTGTGAGAAGAGCAGCGGCGAGGCAGAGAAGAGCTAACATGGTCCCTGTGCTGTGCATAGCTTGGCTGCTTATGCCTAGGGAGCAAGTGGGAAAAGGTGCTTTGAGCCCTAATTCTGAGCACCAGCCCCCCCTTTGCCTTGCCGGTTGAGGCAGGTTGGCTTTCAATTTAATTTCCCTTGGAATTTCACTAGGGTTTCGGTGACAGGGTGCGGGGGCCCGAAAGGTTTGTGAACTCAAAGCAGTTTTGCAAACACCACGAAGAGTCAGAGAAATTCATCCAATCAGGCTCACGCTCTCACCCCCACCCAAAGCCCTCTCCCATAAATCCAGCCACTCATCCGCCACCGCACATGACGATTTCTTCCCACGCCCCTTCCTTGCGCCGTTAGCCGCAGCTGTAAGGGAGAGCGAGATCTGGCCACCCCAAGTTCAGCCAGCCTTAAGGCAAATGTGAACAGCAGCACATGGTGCCCGGCTTTACACAGGGCTGCCTTCTGGAGCCTTGAACCCACTTACGAATAAGGTTGGTCTTTTGGTTACAGCATCAGAGTGGGATCTGCAAGATGTGGGTTCTGTTCCTGGCTCGTCCTTGGGCAAGTCGCCTAGGGTACGGCTACGTGGGAGCAGTAACTTCCCGCTCAGGTAGACATACCTGTGATTGAACTAGCACGCTAAAACTAGCAATGCTGCTGTGATGAGGGGGAGGGGCTAGTTGCCCCAGGTCTGATCCCACCGGAAACCCTAGACGTACTCAGGTCTGCTAGCTCGCCCCACCACTCCTGCAGTTACGTCTGTCCGAGTTGGAAATTACAACTCCTGTCGAGACAGGCTGAGACCAACTCGCAGGTACAGGTTTCTCCACCTCACATCCCCATCTGTAAAATGGGGATAACAATACAACCTTTCTCCTACCCTTAGCCTGCTTTGCCTACATAGCTAGGCTTTAGGGCAGGGAAAGGGGCTCTCTCTCACTATGCATCTGCACAGGACCTAGCACAATCATCTCTGTTGTGCTACCACAATACAACCTATAACAACTGATTCCTCCCAGGTTTCAATAGCCCCAAGGAGTCAGCCAGTAACCGTGAAGGGCAAGGACAGGACCGGAACACAGTTCCCATCGTTACTTATTAAGTAAGAGGAAAATGTCGCCCTCGCAAATTGCCATTTACAAATCTGGTTTGGATTTACGGAGAGCACTCTAATAAATTAAACCGAGGGTTTACGTTTGTTTTTGTTTAGGCCAATAGACCCTATTGTTTTTTTTAATACAGCCAAATTAATTAAAGGAAGCAACTAAATGGACGTCAGTCACTCGCTTATGTAAATAGACACATCCCGAGTTACAGAACAGTTCACATGGCTATTCCATGGGAGGTCTTGAAAGCTGCAGGCCATTTGGCATGTCACATATTTGCCAAGGTAAAAAAAATAATGTTTTTATCACGAGAAAGTAAAACAAAAATCATAGCCTACAAGTACCTATGAAGGCCCCGGCTCAGCAGAGCAATTAAGCATATGCTATTGATGCCTAACAAATGGCCAGCAACCCCTTACAACACACTCGAGTGACACATGCCAAATCGCTGTCACCCAGAGAGAACTAGGGACCCAAGGCATACCAGAGAGGGCAGATTTTTGGGGGGGAGGGATAGCTCAGTGGTTTGAGCATTGGCCTGCTAAACCCAGGGTTGTGAGGTCAATCCTTGAGGGGGCCACTTAGGGATCTAGGGCAAAATCAGTACTTGGTCCTGCT